TATAAAACTAAAAATAGAACTACCATATGACCCAGCAATCCCACTACTGGGCGTATACCCAGAGAAAACCATAATTCAAAAAGACACACGCACCCCAATGTTCATTGCAGCACTATTTACAATAGCCAGGTCAGGGAAGCATCCTAAATGCCCATCGACAGACGAATGGATAAAGAAGATGTGGTACATATATACAATGGAATATTACTCAGCCATAAAAAGGAATGAAATTGGGTCATTTGTTGAGACATGGATGGATCTAGACACTGTCATACAGAGTGAAGTAACTCAGAAAGAGAAAAACAAATATTGTATATTAATGCATATATGGAGAACCTAGAAAAATGGTACAGATGAACTGTTTTGCAGGGCAGAAATAGAGACACAGGTGTAGAGAACAAATGTATGGACACCAAGGGGGGAAAGCGGCATGGGGTGGTGGTTGTGGTGTGATGAACTGGGAGATTGGGATTGACATGTATACACTGATGTGTATAAAATGGATGACTAATAAGAACCTGCTGTATAAAAAAATAAAATAAAATTCAAAAATTCAAAAAAAAAAGATTGAAAATTAACACACTAAGAATCCCACCCAAAGATTTATAAAAAGAAGAAATGAAAAAATCCAAAGACAGGTAAAGACCAAACCAGTAGTTTAAAATTTTACCAGGCCCATACCATTTCCCTGGATACTTTTAATACACTTTCGAAAAACAGGTAGCCCTTATCATATGCAAATTGTTTTATAAAATATAAAAAGTGAGTGGGAACCTCGCCCAACTCTTTTTTATAAGCCTGAAATAACACTGAAATGAAAACTGAACAACAATATGAGAAAGGAAAAATTATGAGCCAATCACACTTACAAACATAGACAGAAAATTTCTATATAAAATAATAGCAAACAGAATCTAACAATGTACAAAATAATAATACCTAACATCTAGGCAGGGTTTATACTAGGGATGTAAGGAAGTCTTAACATTATAAAAATATGTTAATATAACTCACCACAATATCAATTAAAGAATAAAAACAAATGATGTTTTTAGCAAATTCAGGAAAAGTTTTGAATTCAACAGGCATTCACAATTTTTTAAAAATTAAAAACTTAGCAAACTAAAAACAGAAAAAAAACTCCTTTAACCTGATAAAGAGTATTTATCAAAAAACTTATAACTAACAAGTTCCCTTAAAGTTCCAAACAAATTCAACATTGCACAGAAATCCTACCCAGTGAAAGAGAGAGAGAGAGAGAAAGACAGAGAGAGAAGAGAAGGAGAAAGGAAGGGAGAAAGCAAAGAAAGAAAAGAAAGAGAAAAATAGGAAGGAAGGGGAGAAGAAAGGGCAGGAGGGAGAGAAGGAGGAAGGGAAGGAGAGGAGGTATGAAGATTGGAAAGGGAGAAACAAAATTATCATTATTTACTGAAAATAAGGTTGTCTACATAGGAAGTAAGAAAAAAATCTATAAAAGGAAAATCTTAAAATTTAAATGAATAAGAGGGTCTAGCAAGACTTCTAAATACATGATCAATATACAAAATTCAATAGTATTTTGTGCAGCAGTTATAATTGGTTAGAAAATGTACTTTAAAAAGCATCTCACAACACCAACAAAAGTATAAAGTGCTCACAAATAAATCTATAAAATCTGTATAAGGAATTTTTGAAGAAAAGTAGAACTCTTCTTTAAAACACATAGAAGAAAACCCCCCACAAATTGGAGAGCTTTATTTTGTTCATGTTAAGAAATTCAAGAATAAATATATCAATTCATCCCAAATTTCACTATAAAGTTAGTGTAATTTCAATCAAAATGAAATTAGGATTTCTTTTTAATTTGTTAAGTTTACCCCAAAATTCAACTTGAATAGTAAAGACCAAGGATAGCCAAGAAAATGTAAGAATAAGAGCTACAAATTTACTGTACTAAATGTCAAGATGGATGATAAAACTACAATAATTCAGATAGCATAGCATTGGTACAAGTAAACATAAATATGTCAAAGAAATAGAGTATTCAGAAATAGCCTGGGCATATGTGGAAGTTTATATCCTAAATAAATGATACTTAATATGGCATTGCAAATCAGTAGGGAATGGGTGAAATATTTAATAAATTGTGCTTTGGTAATGGACTACTAATATTAAAGGGAAAAATAAAGATCAAATTAAACCTCCACCTCACACTGTGACCAAAATAAATTTGAGACAAATCAAATGCCAAAAGCAAAACTGTAAAATATCTACAGGAAAATGTCTTCATACACAGGGAGAGGAAAAGCGTTATCTCAAAGGAGCCCATAAAACATAAAAAACTACTAATTCAAATTTAGAAACATCTATATGGCAAAAATGCATCATTAGGAAGGTTTAAATATTAACACAAATGAAAGATTATATCAGTAACAAATACAAAAAAAGAGGATTAGTATCCAGATTGGTTTTTTTTTTAAGCTATCAGATTACTAAGATAAACAACATAACAGAAAATAGGGCAAAGGATATAAACAGGACCTCAAAGAAAAGGAAAACAGCATGGACTATAAAATTATGAAAAGAGGCTCAATTCACATGAAATCAGAGAAATGTATATTAAATCAATGAGAAATTTCTCAGGCAAGAGATATGAAAATATTAAACCATTACAAGAACTGTCAAGAATATGGAGAAAGAGGAAATCCCATTCACTGACAGTAGGAATATAAATCAATTTAAAAATCTACCAAAAAGTATGAAGTTGACTCATTAATTCCACTTACAGGTATATGACCAAGGAGATCCACACAGAGTTATTCACTGAAGCATTATTTATAAAATAAACATATGGGAACACTTAAATATCAATAACTAAGTTATGGTATCCTGTAACACTGGATTATAGGAGAGTAATTAAAATGAGTGAACCAGCTCTAAACTACTCATTTTGTTACCCTTTGTCAGTCACTTAGCTTCTTTGAGCTTCTTGTTTGCTGTTTTTGTGTTAATTTATGAAATGGAAAATCAACCTCACAAGGTGAAATGAAAGACAATAAGTAAGAAAGAGATAAGTAAATGACATAATATATATAACAGCTCCTATGAAATATCAGGTACATTAGAATCTGATGTTCTCTTGTCTGTGAAATAGGTATCACCAACATTCTCTGAAAGAGAGGTGGACAGGAATAGGATATATGATTTGAGAATAATCTATATTTATTAAAACCCGTTTAAAAATGAGAAAGGCAGCTAGATAGGAAAGAGGAAAGAATTAACCAACCAAATGAGGACCTAGCTCTCATTGAAGAGGTAATCACAAATAAGACTCTAGTCACATAAATCTACCAACAGGCTCCATTCCAAAACACTTACAGGCTCAGGACCATTATTCAATGAAAAACACTATGAAACAGGAATTATACTGAAGCAGCCTGTAAAGTTATGACTTTTCACTAACTAGTTTTAGTTTTATTTTGTGCTGAGTGAGAACTTCTGATGACACCAAGGTAGTGGGAAAATTGGGAACCATATTTCTTAATATTCAGTGTCTATATAAGAAGAAAATCACCTTGAATATGAAGCCCACTTCTAGTAATGGAACTAGTAACCCCACTTCTAGTAAACCCACTTCTACCTTACACTATTAAGCTATCTTGAGAAGTCAACTTACATTTTTCAGAAGAAATTTTAATCTGAATAATGCTGATTTCCCATAAACTATGTGTCTGTCAACCTTCATAAGAGATAGAGGGACATCTGAGCTTCAATCATAAAGTGTATTTGGGGAAATCCTAAACTATATCCTGAAGGACCTAACAAGGGACAGAAGAGCCAATAGGCCCCCTGGGTTTGGATATATCCTACAAGCCCCTTACATTAATGCTCTGGCCCGCAATACAATATTGAGAATAAATTTTAAAATAACAAATTATAAAGATGCTGCAAAAGCAATTAGAGATGGTCAGGTAAAGCCAACACAGATTAAAAAGTGAGTTGATTACTCAGCTAGTAGGTGTCTATGACAACTTGCAGAGAGGAAGAGAATTCCATTGGAGAGCATCAGATAATGCGTGTTCATTTGAAAGAGGAACTTCATGGAAAAACATGTCACAGACTAAGCGCACTAGTGCGTAAAGGTAAAAGGTGTTTAAACTTACACCTAGGAAAGAAATCAGCCATATTTCATAATAAAAATCCAAAACAATTAGCAAAAGGTCCAGAAATACCTCCCCCAAACGTTTTCCCCCAACTCCAATTGTGAGGCACAAGGATTATTCAAAGGAATAGACTTGCCAAGCCTATTTCAGGAAATAATTGCTTTTATCATTGACAGGTTTTTAAATGTCATTGGCACTAGAATTCACTTTCAAATGCAAAACATAAAGAAAGCCAATTAACAGAGGATATCTAAAAAGGTATATAATGGATATATATTAAACTCATATGTTTATGTGTTTTACTAATAAAAAACAATTTATTTTATTAATAGAAAAGCGTTAAATAAATTCATATTATATGTAATACTGGGCTGCTCACAAGTCTTTCCTACTAATTCTAAGAAGGCTAGCAGCAAAGAGGCTGATACAGAAATATCAAGACATTGACAATCTCAAGAAGAGGTATCCAGTCTTTTTCCTTCCCCACAGCATTTAATTCAATACTCAACACACAACAGGTGCTTAATACATATTCACTGATATGAGTAGGATACTTGCTAAGAAACACTGAATGAAAATTTGTTACTTTATTACCATTTATTTATATTAATAATAAAGCAACTCATAAAAGTTTTGAAAGTAATTCATCTTTACTGAAATTTTTCTCTTTAATACATAATACCATGTAACAAAAAAAGAAGAACTGTAAGACAGCTCCACTCTAAATACCTACAGGTTAACTTACAGGAACTTAAAAGTAACAAAAATAGTGCACACTACTGGAGGCCTAATGAAGGAAACTAGTTTATACCACCACCTAGTGGCCACACAATGATGCAGCACAAAGAAAGTACTTACCAGTGATGTTACCAAAGTACAAGCATCTGGAGTTTACACGTAGAGCTACTGCCCTCCTATGCAGAGTTGGATCCATCTCTCCCATTTCCTTCTGCAGATTTGATGAGGCTGACCTTTGGACAAAACCAAGCAGAGACATCATCAAGTGGATCGTTGCCTTTCCCCACCTCATATAATTTCCTCCACCCTTTAACTGATACCTATTTGTTACGTACAGTGTAAAATGCACTTTCACATTCATTGGACCAGATGGCAATAATTAAAAAGTAGTCCTGGCTGGGCCACACAGCAGCAGTGAACCTGAGGAAATTAATCTCTCAAAATCTCACCTTTTTCACTTATAAAATGGAGATAAAATTTAACTTATAGCATTTTGAGGATAATTAAAACCTGTGAGAAAATAAATAGGAGATTGCCTTAGGCACCTAACAGTACTTAACAATGGTAACCTAATTCTAAGTTGTAGCCATAAATTTTACTCCTATCTTGTAAGCATTCTCCTTTTGGAAATATTCTTGGAAGTTTCCTCTATCTTTCTCTTGGTTGGATGCAGTTAATGATGAGGCTCTAGGGGGTGGTCAAGCCACAGTGTGGAAGAAGTCTGCTCCTTATGTATAGAAGAGCTGCCTGCCAAGTAGGTAAATGCACACTGGTTTCTCATAAAAAATAAAATTCATTAGTGTTTGAGTCATAATACGCTTTTGGTGTCAATCTGTAACAGCAAATTAGCCTAAACAATATATATATATATATATATATATGTATGTATGTATGTATATATATATATATATATATAATATATATTCTTGAAAGATACTACCAAATATTGAGATCTCTGGCATCCTTCTCTCTTTGGCCTCAAGAACCTGGCAACAAAGATTAGACCTCATAGGCGGGACACCAGAAGTTTCCTTGCCGAGAAAACTGACTAGACAAGAGAAATAACTTATAGATAATAACAGTGGGGTGATGGGCATCTACTGAAGGAAACTGCCCGGTCAGATCACCCTACACTAAAGCCCATTACTTGGCAAGACCCACCCATACTCACAGAGCTTTTTTATAGTCCAACTTCAAAATATGAGCTGAGAGACAAATACAAAAACATTTCAGGAAAAACTCCAGTACCAGAGACAGAAAAAATAAATAGATAGAAAACAAAATAAAACTCAAATGAAGACTTAAAACAATATTTAAAAAGAAAACACCTATAATCAATGTCCCCAGAGAGACAGAAATATTGAACCCATGAAACAAAAAGAGGATAATACTTCTGAAGAGAGTGGGGAAAAAAACATTCTGGAAAAAGGGGTAAAAAGGAGCTCTTGGACATAAACAATGGAAATTAGAACATTAAAATTTTACTACATGAGTTAGAAAATAAAATTGGAACATTTCATGCCCCCCCCAAAAAAAGCAAAAAAGAAAGATTAAAAAACTAGGAGGAAAAAGAAAATTAGAGGATCAAATGGAGGCATAACGTTTGAACAAAAGAAGTTCCAGAGAGTGAGGAGGAAGAAAATAAATCCAAGAAACATAACAAATTTTTCATAATTTAAGAGTTTCCAGATTGAGGGGGGTCAACTGAGTGAGACACAATGTATGAAAAAATATCTATCCCAAGGAACATTATTGTGAAATTTCAGAAAATTAGGGAAAACAAGAAAAACATAAAAGCTTCCAGAGAGAAATAAGTCACATACGAAGGATCAGGAATCAGAACGGGATGAATGTCTAACTAGAAACTATAATGCAATGGAGCAGTGCCTTTAAAAACATGAGGAAAAATTATTTCCAATGTAGAATTTTACACCCACCCAAACTATAAATTAAGGAGGTTGATAAAGATATTTTTAGAGATGCAAGTCTCAAAAGTTTAAGTCCCATGTGCTGTCTCCTAAAATTAGGAGGAAAAAACAAGATGCAAGATCCTGGAAAAATGAGGTCCAACACAAGGCAAACAAGATTCCCCAGGAGATCAGTGAAAGGAGATCCAAGAATTACTACAGGGCCGCCTTAGAGAACGCTTAGTCCACACTGGACCAAGAGAAAAGACTCCTGAAAGATATCTCTAGAAGATGAAACTGATAAACTGATTAACAGGTTTAATCATTTTGAGTTTTGGCAAAGAATCTGGTGATTAATAAGTATAAGGAAAAGAAGAGAAACAAATGAAAAAGAGAAATAAAAAAATAGTCACCTTCCTATGATTAAGATCATAGACGTAAGCCACATAGCAGTGGCTTAAACTAGAAGATGAATTCTCTTGTGGAAGAAGTCCAGAGACAGGCAGTCCAGGGCTCATAGTATGGTGTTCCTTGGTGTCAGAACCTAGGCTGCTTCTCTCTTGTTGTTCTGCCATCCCCAGCATGTGGCTTCTACCTCAAAGACCAAGAACTCAAACCATTACATCCACATTCTAGCAGGCAGAAATAAGAAAAAGGCAAAGAGGAAAACAACCCCTCCTACACAACTTTAAGATCACTTACAGTAGGTCATAAATGCGCTAAAACATCCCACTGGCCAGGACTTAAGTCACGTGGATGCACCAAGCTGCCTGGGTTCTATTAGTATTTTTTTAAGAGGGGTTGGGACAAGAATGGCATTGGGAAAGAGCTAGCAGTCTCTGCTACCTCCCTCCAGCACTTTCTATTCTCCATATCCTACTTTGTCTTTCCTCGACGTATTTATTAAGCCCTGATATATTTTTCCTTCATTTGTCTATCTGTTTCCCCTAACCTGGAACTTCCAAGGGGACACAGACTTTGTCTTTTGCTCACCTCTGCACCCCAGTTTCTGGAAAAGTGACTGAAGCATAGAAGAAATTTAATATGGGTTGAATGAGGGAATAAATTGTTAATTCCGGGGTTGGGGGGGGAGTCTAAGAAAATAAATTTAAACATAAAGATCCAGTCTGGGCACAGATGATGCTTTGTTTTGTCTTCATTAGTTAGAAATGGATGCCCATCATCTGGAAAAAATGACTCGCCCTTCTGGAATTACTAATTTTAAAAAGCCTCCTTTCCTCTGAACAGATGATTCAAGTCATTGTACAAGGTACAACTAACCCCCTAGTCCTAATAATATAAGCAATATTGCATTAATGTTTGCAATAATGTAACTATTAGCAAGAATAACATAAACATTAACATGATGTAAATAATGTAAATTAATTAACTGATTATTTTTCATGTAAATATTATTAGCCGCAGGAAGGGAAATTATTTTGGGGGAGTGTTATACTTGAGATATAAATCCTCTTCTTCCATAGAAGGAGTCAATAGATACTATCTAGACCGAAAAACAAACAAACCAAAAAAACACAAGAAATAGCAAAATATGCCTATTATTTAAAAATACAGAAAGAGGCGTCAGAAGAAATAGCTCGAAATGTTGAAAGGTGATTATTCTGGTGAGCAATAATCAGGGATAGGGGAGACTAGACCAGAGGTTTTGCTTTTAAGGATCACAGAATTTTAACAACGTATGTTTATATTTGAACTTTTCATATCTAGCTCGGTGCCCCCATTCCTCTGAGCTCCCGGAAAATAAGTTATTAGGAGTGTAAGTTATTAGGAGCCTTGCAACTTCGCGCTGTGGGCAGTGATGGGGAAGGAGAATGCAATTAGAACAGAAAAGTGAATGCTCCTCGGTCGTACACACTCGCATCCTACACACAAACTTTTAGGAACTGTACGCACGTGCGCAAGGAGATGAGGCGACGGGCCCAGACAGGTGGTACAGGAGCGACATCAGCACTCAGCTAATTCTAGTGTCATTTCTGACGCTGGGGGTAAGAACGTTCGAGGGAACCAACGTGGAAGGAAGGGTCAGAGCTAACACCAAACGCGTCTGGGGCTCAGGCTGCGGAGGACGCCTGGCAGACTGGGCGGTCCGGCCGCCCCACAACCCCCCCCAACCCCCCCCCCCCGGCCCCCAACGCAGGAGGAGGAGCCGACCCGCCCCGAGTCTGAAGCAGTTGTGCAGGCGCCGCTTCCTGCTAGTCGGGAAGCCACAGGAGGAAGAATTTAAGGAAGAATACCGGCCGCAGCCCTTCTCAGCGCTCGAAGCCGTGCCATGCTTGCCCTCCGAAGGAGCCTGACTAAGGCTCTGGCCGCTCGGTCGCAGGCGCCTCAGGTACTGGCCGTCCGAGACGCGCCCAAATCGTTCCCTGGGGGAGGGGCGGGGAGGGGCGTCTGCGGGGAGAGCGCGGGCCGCGCATGCGCCTACGGGCCCAGACCTGCCAACGTGGTTCTGCTGCCGCAGAGCTGACTTCTAGTACAAGTCTCGGAATCCCGTGGCGGCGGACCCCGGGCTGCGCGGCAGGAGGAAGGGTTCCGTTAGAGGAAGACGCAATGCCAGGGTCGCCTCCGGCCGGCTCGCAAACAGTCGTGGACAGGGGCCGTTTCTAACCTAGGTACCCGGAAGCCCTGAGGTCCCCCCCGAAGCGCCAGCTGCTGCGTTTTTGCGGCTCTGCGAGGTTGCTGTCGCCGCATTGGGGCCTGTGCTAGACACTGGTCCGGCCTCTCTTACTGATTTGTGTTTTGACAAGGCCCCTCCAGACTGAAGGGGCAATAGGACAGGCCTCCCCCTATTAAGCGAAATACACAACCGTCCAGCATTTTGCAGGCAGAGAACCTTTAAGAGGGGGCCCAGGGTGCAGGTGGTGAAGCATCCTGCCCAGATGCCACTGTCTCCTGAGGTTGGTGCCCTAGTCAGGCAGTGTCAGGAACCTCGTTGCAAATATGATGATGACAACTTATTTAATCTGGATAAAAAATGTACAAAATAGATTATTGTGATTCAGCCTTAACTGTCAGGAATTGGCCTATTCTGTGAATCTAACCTAGAGGTTTTTTCCTTTTGGTGTTTAGGCTTTTACTTCTTTCTCAAAGAGCAGTAAGAAGGGGATTATAATCTACTCTAGAGACTGACTTTCTGGTGAAGACTAAAGAGGAACCATTAATGGCCCCTTCACCCAAGATTAGCAATACAGTCTTTATTCTGAGTCTCTCTATTGGGGCAGGACCAAGAATTATTCCTTAGAATTTTACTCTGAACTTTGATGTTATTAAATGTCAACCAAAAAAATGAAAACAAAAATGGTTCTGACAAACCTAGGGGAAGGACAGGAATAAAGACGCA